ATGAGTGGGAAGGGAGCTGTCACCCTTCATCCCTCCTCTGTGGGTTGGCCCTTGTGGTGTGGGGCTGGAAAGGGGCCAGCAGAGACCCAAACCACTCGACTGCCTTGTCCTGACCCCAGGGGTGTTTGTGCAGAGCCTGTGGACCCATGGTGGCATTTAGTTTACCGTGCAAGGCTGTAGCCAAAGGAGGCAGCACCGGCCTCCCCGCTGGGGGCTTCCCCCTTGGGGATTTGCCCAAATCACCTCCTCTTGCCCTACAAACAGGCAGGGCCTCGGGGCTGAGGTCTGGATGCGCTTTCGGAAGTGCAGGGACAGGCAATAAAAATTTCTCGGGAAGAGGCGTGGAAGGGCAGTCAGACATAATGGTCGACCTCCTCCCAGTGCTTTTGCTAATGGGTGGACAGGGTTAAGGAGAGCTCAGCTTGGCTGAGCAAGAGCACCTAAAACACAACCGCTCAATTTTGAGGCAAGGTAAAAAAGCATATTAAAAGGTCACTTAACCGAGCTGGACGTGGTCTGGAAGTGGTTCAGTTGTCAAAATATACTCCAAATGAAACCCTTTTGCTTGGTACTTACACCACAAAAAGTAAAAGAACGTTGTTTACTCGCTCCCTGCTTCGCACCTCATGTCATCCGAGCTGTGCTTGCAGGGCTGATGCACTTCATACAATGGGCAAGATATTTCTTTACTGTTTTACTATATTTTACATTCACTGCACTACTAAATAAAAGCCTTTAAACAGGCCACAAAACACTGCAATAATATATTTACTTCTTAATAAAACAAACTTTTTTATAACATTGCAATAAAAGGTTCTTGTTTTGTGGCAAACCACATACCATGTAAATTTGCAACATAAAATGACTTTTAAAATGTATATTAAAAGATATTTACAAGCTCTATGTCTTAAAATCTTCGGGTCTAATCACCCCCACCCCTGATGTGCACGTGCAACTCCAGGTGCAGAGAAGCAGAATTAAGCGTGGAAAGGAGGCTGGGAGGGAGGCTAGCCCTGTTTCACTAATTCCAGTATCACTACCACCCCTAGTACCTGGGAAATTTCTCACGGAACATGATGGAGCGATGGGTAAGTAACACTGCGCATCTTCTCAGCAAGAACACACCTGCTCTTGCCGACAGCAGTGTACGTTCTCGGTCACTACAACATACACTTCAAAGAATAAAATAAAGAGCGTTGAAAAAGAGTCTAGGCTTTATACTGGATGGAGATCTAAGTCAAGACACCTCGCGTGAAATATTGGCTACTCCTTTCTGCACATGCTCCAACTATGAGTAGCTTCAATAAATAGAAAATCCAGTTGTTAAGGAAAACTCAGAGCAACTTACTTTAAGTTAAGGAAAACTCAGAGCAACATTTCCTTTACTTAATGCAAGCCTGCAAATCACACTGTGAAGAGGTTTGTGTGAGAAGGCTTTTTTTTTTTTCTTTTTCTCCCAAACGGGCAATTTTAGTTAATTCTGATTTCAAATAAGAATGAGCAGATTGTATTAATGCCTGCACAAAAAATGCAGAGGTCTTGCACATTTTTCAAATTGCACTTTCCAGTATAATTTTTTAAATAAGATACTTGTTGTTTTTTTCTTAAAAAAAAAAAAGTTCTAAGGTATGTATTCTTTAAATATTGAATATATTCTTCAAAATATATTGTTAAAACTTTCCCTAGCTGCTCAGATGTGCTTTTTAATATATAGCTGATATATTATTAAAGGCACTACAAAATAGACATCTCTGGAGTGCAGAAGTTACTAAAAAATAACCTTCATACCACAAATATATTGAAAATATAACTGCTAAAAAAAAAAAAAAAAAGACCCTATGCAACCCCACTAGGATGCGTATAAATGCACGTCAGCAGTAGACTGGATGCATCGAGGTCCTTTAGAAATGTATGAATACAGGCGTGTTAAATTTTAAAAATAGCCTAAAAAAGTTAGTGAAAACTTCAAGCGTAGAAAATATTTCAAACACGTTTTTCTATGACATTCTTCACTTTCTGTAGCAGTTTACTGAGCCCAAACATTTACTCTTTCGCAGCCGGTTCTTTCTTCATAAATAGTAAAGTGTTCCTTCAGTGTGTGTTTCTCCGCTGCCCTCCTCTGCCGACAGTCTCAGTACGTCTGGTAGACGTCATGGATGGGG